CCCCCCCCCCCCCCCCCCCCGAGGACTACATTTTGAGTTGTGTGGGTCTGAAGAAAACACACACGAGAGTACACACAAAAGATTAGTAGCGTACAACGGGTCTGCCCGGAAAAGAGAAACTTTTTAGGCAAGTCTTTCAGACGAGCTCTAATCCCTGCTTTATAATATCATTGCACATCATCCATCCAATTAAGATAACAAAGCGAATTGAGCCTCATATCAAGTATCAGCTGTTAGGATGAAAGTCAAAAACTTAAGCTACAAAAAGAAGTCTTGTGTTAAGGCTTCTTTACTTTGATAAATCAGGGAACAAAACACCAAATAGCGTCTCTAGAGTAGTAGAGCCACACATACAGATCAGCCCTTCAGATCGGAGCTTTATCTGGGGGGGGAAATACGAACAAATTGAACAAAAGCAGTGTCGAAGCGAAAGGGAAACGGCTGTTTCAGTGCCACCGACGCAGCCCGCATTCGTCCCCGGCTGTGCCAGTGCAGGTCAACGGATGCAGAGAGATGGCGGCTGCCGTGAAAGGCTGGCCTGCTATCTGATTGAGCCAGTATTCAGGGGACGAATAAATGACACGCGGGCACAGAAAAGAGGCTCGCTCCGACGCAAGTCCTGCTCTCATTTATCTGTCTAATAAGTTTTGACGGCGGGCCAAAGCCGAGAGGGACACACTCTTAGCTCTGACTCAATATCCCTGCCTGGCACCCTCACAATCCTCTGATATTGGAGAACAGAGTAATATTAAAAGATCTGTTATCAGAAGCCCAATTGTAGTACGGTGGGAGGGAGCTGATCCGCCCAGACAACCTGCTAGAAAGGGATTCTGGACCTGTACTGTTTCTTAAAACCACAAAGACGATAATAGAAACAAGTGTCTTCATTCTGATACCTTCAATTAGTGTGTTTATTCTTCATGGCTCTTCACATTCAGGTTTTTGGGTAGGTTCGTAAGAACAGGGCGTGGACAAAAGAAAATGAACATCTCATTGCCAGGGTTCTTGCATTAACATCTTCCCCCATATGCTATGTTAAACAACTAGCAGCTGGAAAGTTCACATTGCCTGGATGAACTTGAATTAGTTATTTTCCCAACACCAGTGAGTGTTGGGAGGAGCGGCTTGTCACTAACATCGGAATAGCCCGTCCACCTTAAAGGTCAGTCCACCTTAAGTGTGCCTGGGCCCTGGCTTGAGGAATTTGAGCATACATTTACAAATAACTGTACACACACTGCACAGCTACGTTCACAGCTATAATTCTAATTTCTAATTTCTCGAACGCACACTCGCTTACATTACATACTCAATCTACGAGCTACGAGTAGTTATATTTTAGTAAAAAAAAAAGGCAGATGCTGTTAACACCCAGGTGTCAAAAGCCAACAATACTATTTGCAGCAGGGCAGAATAGCCAATATTACCACCCTGGTATATATAGCACGGCAGAGACAAGCACCAAGGTAGCCAACGATGCTCTTTGGACCTGACATTAGACACTGCATGTGAATATGTAGCCTACTTTTCCTAAACCTAACTAACTAGTTTTGTTGCCAAAACCTAACCAAACTCATTCAAAACTAATAATAATAACAACAATAATGAAAAAATTGAAAAATAATAAGTCAATTGAGTGTAAAAACAAGCTTTTCCAGGGAGCAAATCCTGAGTTTGATGCTTTCCTCCACCATACTCTCTTACGTACATGCTAACAATTGCTAAATGAAGTTGGTGAAAATAGCCAATTAGCTTCTGCGTGACTATCGTCAGAGTGCAAAAGAAATCCCTAGTCCCGATGGGCCCACCGAGCAGGAACTCTGATATATAAAAAAGTGTAAATGTGTAATCTATACATCTAATAAACAACCAAACTTAAGCAGGTTTTTATGGTTTTTTGACCACCAGATCACAAATGAATGCTACCTGGCATATATTCTATACGTGTGTTGTATTATTATTGTTAGGGATTCCTTTTCTGTGTGATGATGACGATGATGTGGCAACGATGACAACACACTAAAAAGGACAAAGGCAATGACGAGGATGGCGATGTAAGGAGGACGTTGATGAGGAGGAGGAGGATGAAAGTGAAAATGAGAAAGGTAATGGTGATTGTGACAGTAAAAAAGAAGAGGACGATGATGCTGATAATGAGGAGGATGAAGATGCCGCTTTAACGTTGATTGTGCGCATATTAAAGACAGTGTGATGTGAAAGGAGTTCAGTTGAGAGAATCGTCTACTTAATGATGATCAATCTATTCATGAGCTCTTCATGTGGAGAGCTCATGTGTGGAGCCGCTGGCCCCGACAGGCTGACGGAGCCAGCGGATGGCTGAAGTAGGAGTTCAGTGATTGGACTTTTGTTCTTTCGTGTGTATGACTAAAGACTACCAGGGAGATGTTAAGTGCTCTTTGACTGGCCGTCCACTGTTAACCTACACTGTTAAATACAAAGCTGTTCATCACATCCCGCTCACTGCAAACACCTACAAAAGTCTTTAAGTATAAGTGAGTGTGGGGGAGGAAAGACAGGAAATGGAGCTTGTGAGCATATAATCACACAATAGACTGTCTATGGGGGTGCATGGAAGTTTAATGAAGAATAAATCATCAATGTTTAGTTATGCAACGGCTTTATGTTATTAATAGAAAATGTGACTTTGAGGCTTGCACGATTTGACCCGTTGGTACGGTATATAAAGGGACTTATTAAGGGGATCACATACTGGCCAGATGTGACCAATCCATATTAGGTACAGTTTTCTATTCCGCTCCGCAGACAAGGTTGATCAAAAGCTGCTGATACGTCGCTTCCTGCTCCCCAATAAATTAATCTGAATATGAAATTCATAGGTCGTAGGCCTTTATAGTGAAACTGGATGTGCAAACAATGGCATTTACCGACAATATAAACGTCACCAAAAACGTACTAGATATAGAGGGGCCGTTCAGCTGAATATGTCTCGTCTACCTGACGCATTGATCCTTCATGTGACTGCGGTTTGTGCAACTTAGAATCTATGGCCCCTGCCATGGCTCTGACATATTAGTAGCCCAAATGTGCTGCGTATTAATACATCCATGGCGCTGTCCATGGTGCTAAAGTGATAAACGGATTTGTAATTGAGACTTTAAAATATATATATATACTGGGTGGGGTAATGTGCCCCCTAAACCTGAACTTCCTGTGAAGGACGCTTATTTTGAAAAGGCACCATGCATGTACTAACGTATATCGACACACAATCCCTGACACCAAAACTGCCACTTGTGGGGTACGTGGAGCTTCATAGTTTGAGGCTTAGTGCCACTGACCAAGCTACGTTGTTTGACGCATTGGTGCGAGAATGTGTTGCCATTGGGTAGCTGTTTGACCATCTTTCCTTAAAGATACGAGGAGTCAGCACTTACCAGAAGCACCTGAAGATCTCTGCCCATAAGACCATCCAGTTGAAAGTGACAATGGAAAAAATGTTATGTGGAGAAAAGTCTGAACTTCACAATATTTACAGAAAATGAATGAATAACTCGAACGTGTTTTGGTGTTCATAGCATTTAATGGTAAAATATGATACAATCTGACGACACAAAAAATGACTCAGAGAAGAATGTTAAACTTTTGTATCGTAAAATGTACTACTCTTGTGACACAATCCCATTCTCATCTATCGCTGCTGTTGTGAAGGTTTAAGGAGGCTTTGTTGGTTCAACAAGTATCAACTATTTATTTTCTTCAAAAGAAAAATGATTTTGAAAAGCAATGTCCAACTATGACATTTATTCTGAAAAACTGGATGTTTTGAGTTGCATTCAAAATCGGATGTATTTATTAATAGAAGTACTGTATTTTGAATTAAAGAAGACTCAATTCAAGAAGTAATTCAGCATACCTTTATTAATGTTAAGTCTCAATAGAGTGATTAGGCCTTATCTGTCAAGTTATCCGTGAGAGGGTAACATGACTTTATTATGTAAAGTCCACCCGAAAATAGCATCCACCCTGGCAAGCTGCAACGACTGCTGCATCAGGGACTGAGCACTGAGCTTTAATTGTTAATAATATCAAGTACAGTTCACAGATAGATAATGTGTTTGTGGAAGGAAATTATAAACTCTGTGATGCATCTCTTACATTGATATCAGGAAATTGAACCCATTGCTGGAACTCCGACAGCTCAGGAGCAAAGTGTCTGTTAACATTGAGCTCAATAACGAAGCTCAGGGCTAGCAGATACATATCTGAGGGCTAAAACTGTTTGAGGCAAATTTGCAATTGAGGGATGTTTCAATTAAATTAACTTGAAAGGATGAGATGCTACCTTCTTAATCAAAACATTATTGTTTTCTAAAACCAAGCTAGATGATTCATAATCAGGAGAAATAACGGGAAAACTGTGATTGCATTCATTGTTCATATGATCTTTATATTGAACAAAGGGTTTAAGACACTTGCTGTTGTTGATGTGAATCCTAATCCTTATTATTGAAAAGCGCATTCCAATTAAATTAATACAGTTTTTGTGTTGCTTAGATGTCTGGTCTGTGCTGGCCCACACTTTAGAGGAGCAATTACAGTACTTTGCTGTTTAAGAAATGAAGCTAATTATATTCTGTTTATTGCCACCAACCAACAATAGATTGATCCTATAGCTCATCTGCCAGTATTCATGTCAAACAATGTCTTCATCCATCATTAGGCCCTGCAGTGGGCTGTGCTGCATACATATACTGGACC